ACAAAAAACATTTCCCGTCACCTAGAGCGCTTCGAAACAAAAGAACTGGTGTCTTTGTCCTATTAGAATAGAAATAATTCATGGGGACTCGAATTTATATCGATCTTATCACGGGTTGGCCCTTTATGCTGATATTTTATCCCTCGCTGTCGCTCGTGGTAAAATATTTAGCATAAGGGGCGAACCCGTGGTAAAATCACAATAAATTCAAGCCCCATGAATTTTTTCTTAATTATATCATAAAATTGAGAATGGAAATGAGGAATATGTATGTATCAAATTTTCTACAGGTGTCAGTCCAGCAATTCACCCACTCCAATTTAGAACATTGTTGAAAATTGGGATATAGAAAGTTTATATGTAGAATACCTAGTTTCTTTGAAGAAAAACTGAAGGCAACGTATTTATAAAGCTGTTGAAAGTGGTTGAATAGATAGGGAGTTTGGATTGGTGGTCTGACGCCTTTAGAGCGAAAAGCGGTGAAACAAATAAATCAGTAAAAAAATATTTTATTTCTTGACTGATCATTTGGAATGAAATTAGCCACATTTCAACATTTTTTGGGGCAAAAAAGTCACATGTTGCCACGTTAGAGCCTTAAACCTGAATTTTTGCTAATTTTCGCTTTTACCACCATTACCATATATATTAAAAAATGTCTGAAAATGTTATCAATGCACATTCTGTAATTTAAACAGTTAAACACAGGCTCTTAATTACCAACACGAATGTAAAAACTGCATCAATTCACCCAATTCTATAAATTGTATCCAATAAAAGTTTTCTACTTTAAATATTATTGACTTATAGTAAATGAAAAAAGTTTCATGACCATAACTTGTTAATGGCTCACAATTGATAACTGATGAAATAAAAGGGGGGAATATTCCTTAACACTTTTTCACCTTTGATTTTTTACTAGACTAATGCTAAAAGATGTAAAGAGGTTTTAAAGCAATGGGACAAACAAGAATAAATCAACTAAAATTGATCCTGGTATTGAAAGTTTATGTTCCTGTAGCAAGAAATTGAATTTCAAGTATTTTCTATTTAAGTCATACATCGTCATAGTCAATTCAAATAGAGCTTTGCATTTTTCAATATAAGTCGAATTATTATAAGATATGATTTTATTTACTACACATTGACCAAGGATTAATAATAAAGTAAAACAAAAGACTTCTGATAAACTTTTATGCCTCTTCAGTTGTAAGACCAACAATTCTCCAACTCTAATTCAATACACATGTGAAAGAAGCCCTTCCGTGACAAAAATGGTGCTTTTGATGAAATTGTACTAAAACTAACCAACACATTTGCTTAAATTGTAAACCGAAAATTTGGTTGTTTGAAACGGGGTATAATGATATCATATTTAACGACGGAAATATAAGATGTAAATATTTGATTTCAGATACAGTTTTTATAAATCACATTAACTATTCATTTCACAATCGAAAACGTTTTGAACATTTAAAGGGGTTTCACATATTAACAGTGTTTCAAAGTATTTTCAGAAGAAAATGGAAGGGATTTCAACTTCCGGAACTCACAACTTATATTCACAAATGATTCATGATACCGTATAATACCGATACATACAGGGTTCCGCCAATACCTAGTTTCTATAATAAATTTATACTGGTACCTTTGAGTCAAAAGGATTAACAAATCAAAGATTAAAGCTTTTTTTTCAGATATTCTAGAAAATCAATGTTCAAATATACTAACTAGCTTTAGGAAACTCTAACAAGTGCCCTTCATATAAATCACAAATTTCTCATAAACATGCAGATGAATAGATCGTTCAGTATATAAATCAATAAAAATTGGTAATCAAAAACAAACAGTTTGAACTATTATAGATCTTTCAATATGGTCATTTTTATATTGAAAAAAGAACATAAATGGTCGTTTGGTAAATCTGAATGCAAATATATTTGCTGCAACTCATTTAAAACCTTCTTTTCGAACGAGAAAGGTAAATATGCTAGATATACTTACTGGAAGTGTGATGAGATGATTGAAGCTGTTAACTTTCTCCTTGATAATATTTATGTACGTTTCGGCAGCAAAGTTTATCGACAGGTTGTAGGTATTCCTATGGGCACTGATTGCGCCCCTTTAATAGCAGACTTGTTTTTGTACTGTTATGAATCACAGTTTATGACCAAACTCAGTAAAGACCCGTCTAAATTGCATTTAATTGACAAATTCAACAACACTTACCGTTATCTTGATGACATTTTTTCGTTAAATAATCAAGAATTTTCTCAGTATACTGCCGAAATTTACGCAAAGGAACTTACTTTAAATAAATCAAATTTAAACTGTAACAACTGTCCTTTCCTAGATTTAGATATTTCGGTTTTACACGGGAAATTCCACACTAAAATTTACGACAAAAGGGACGATTTTTCGTTCCCTATTATTAATTTTCCTTTTTCGGATGGTGATGTTCCTTTTGCACCATCTCACGGTGTTTATATTTCACAACTCGTTCGCTATGCCCGTGTCTGTTGTGACGTTTTTGATTTTAACGAACGTAATCTATGTATTACTTAGAAATTTTTAATTGATGTTTATATTAGTGTTTCATGTTCTGTCCGACTCGGCTTCTGTCAAAATCCATTATTTATTTAGGTGGAAGATACACATTTTATTACTAATTTTATGATGTCTGTGGTAGAGACGGCAATGTTTTCTTAACCGTCTCATGAACTTGGTGCACGTGTTAATTTTCAATCTTTGTCAGGCTTATTCAGCCAGTTGCATTAATTAGTTAGTAGCAGTAGCAGCAAAAATTCAAATCAACCCTCCAGCCGCCCCAACACCGCCGAATTTTTACGAAGATGTTGTGCCTTTATGGTTCACGTTATGTTACTATTATAAATGTTAAGGGCAGACATTTATGAACATTTTCTGAGTAGTTAGGGTGCCTACGTACCTTAACGAGGAATAGTCTCATCTTGATTGCTCAACAGCTCTATTTCACGTCGGTCTATGCCCACAAAGATTTACTCTTATGCGGTACCACGTGGAAAATCAAGTAAGGCTATACCGCTCGGGAACGGCTTGCTAAAGTACTCTGAGACAAGTAGACTGGTAGACGTACACACATGTGTAAGCAAATACCCCTATGGTGACGCATTTCTGTCAAAGATATGTGGCTAGCTCAGGCACAGTATTTTAGCGGCAAATTATCCTTAATTATCTGAGAACACACTATCATTTTATGTACATACTGTGTGCTTTGTGTCAACTGCAGGTAGCATGTAATTTGTTTTGTTCTTGATTTACAATATGAAAGAACTGAGTGAATTACATGATACTAGAGAAAAAATATCCTCAAGCATTCACACAGTGTGCCGCGCACACTGCTCGGATAGTTAAGTATAATGTTGGCGTCAGTTAGTTTACATTCATCGCTTTTTATTCAATGACGCCAAAGAAGTTTTCTGTAACATAACGTGTTGCTCTTAAGCCCAAATATTTGCATAATAAAATAATTATTTTATCATGTTTTATATTTTTTCAGTACTTCAACAATACCAGACTGGGTATCTTGAAATACTTCCTGCTGGACGTTTACAGGCTTTATATCAACAATAACTACTTTTGTAATTATGGTATAGTGTCTGTGATCGTTCTTATAAGAGTGGTCGTTAATAGCTATCAATTGTCTGCGGTCAAGGTTTATCTATATTTAGTTGTATATCTCTAATCATTGTTCACGCCAGTAATTCTCTTATCAATTGGTCTATTAAGGTCAACGCATTGAGGTTTTATTGGTTAATTGGCTTTGGTCTGCTATGTCGGTATTTACTTAGATCATACGCTTGATGTGTATTTTATTATGTTTGAAACATGTTATATAAATGGTAAATTATTAAGCCAGGGATTTAGTTACCACAAATTACTTAAAACATTTACTAAATTCTTCCACAGATATAAAGATTTGGCTTTGAAGTTTGGTTGTACTTGTAGAAAACTTATTTCAAACGGGATTGCACATCCAATTTTTACGGCAATATTGTTTACCGTGCCAAGAAATTTAGAAACGATCCTGGTTAACTTATCGACCCTTTAAATAAACTTATTGTAAAAGGTTACCAATTCAACACTGTAATAAGATCATTAAATATTGTTTTTATTGGTACCAATATTGATTTTGTTATCAGTAAATTAAAAGCAAACTAAATATTATTGTTATATGCATATACACATTCATGGATCTACAATCTGTCGATACCTGTATCTTGGCATTGCACAAGGTCATGTTTTTCTCTGACTGTTTATGACGTCTTTACACTAAATCCATTGGATGTTGGATGTGTACGGATTGATAATTTAGTCTTAGATGCATGATTTTTTTTATTAGTTGTTAGTGGCTTTGAACTAGCTGTCAGTAACTGCGAGTACTCTCGGATCTGTACTTAGTGTTTTTTTGTTGTTTAAATGTACAAGTACCCGGCCACGTCCACTTGTATTTGTAGTATTTGTATTTTTATCCATCTGACGAGTTAAGACTCTTTCAACTGATTTTTATAGTTCGTTGTTATGTTGTACTGTTGCACCACTGTTCCTTGTTAGGGGGAGGGTTGGGATCCCGCTAATATGTTTAACCCCGCCACATTCTGTATGTATGTGCCTGTCCCAAGTCAGGAGCCTGTAATTCAGTGGTTGTCGTTTGTTTATGTGTTACATTTTTGTTATTCGTTCATTTTTTTGTACATAAATTAGGCCGTTAGTTTTCTCGTTTGAATTGTTTTACATTGTCATTTTGGGCCTTTTATAGCTGACTGTGCGGTATGGGCTTTCTTCATTGTTGAAGGCCGAACGATGACCTATAGTTGTTAATTTCTGTCTCATTTGGTCTCTTGTGGAGAGTTTTCTCATTGGCAATCATACCACATCTTCTTTTTTATATCAGTGCTTCCCAGAAAATTATGAAATCTCACGCACCTACACATCTAGTGATACAGTTGATGAAAGCATTCTAAATATTAGTCAAGGAAAACTAGTAATAAAAACTAATCAGTATTTAGTATTTAAAGATTTTTTATTATGGGACTTTTGCGCTAGCCATTGAATAAAAATAGTTAGATGATCACTAGGACAACAATCAAAAGCTACATGTGAAAAAAAAAACAAACTGAATAATGACCGAAAGAATAAAGATGACAAAAACAGCTACAGCTTGATGACAAAAAAACTACATAGAAAAGTATGATAAGATAACAAGAATCCCGTTAATGACGAGGATAAAATCATATACTCTAATTGGTAAGCAGCTATTCTCTTCTAGGAACATCCGCTGTTTTTTGCTCATTAAAACTACCTTGAGTCAAGAAGACACATGTAATGATGTCATAAAAGAAAACAAGAGGACGGGACTTTGTCTTCGGCAAACGAAAATATCCATGGTTATTTGTGATCATCAAAACTATCTAACTGAACAAATTACTAAGGCTACACATCCGATAAATACGAAACTTTTATTTGACATAAATATTTTTCGTATTATTTAGTATTTATTTTTATGCAAAACATGCAAAAAAGCACATACAGAGTCGGGCTGAATGAAAATTTAACTTTTGAGCCTGAAATGTTTAACATATAAAGGTTCATTTCAAAAGTAGGTTTTTAATTCAATTATTAAATGTTTTCTTCTCCAGGTAAATATCCCTTTAAATATGAATACAGATCTTTTTACTGAATCAAGGAATGGAAACATTAGTGAAGTAGCATCACTTCTACAGAATGGTGCAAATCCAAATCAGTACAATACACATGGCTACACAGCACTCCACACAGCCTCTGAATTGAATCATGGGGATGTTGTTCAAATCCTACTGGAAAACGGTGCTGAACCAAATATTAAGTCGAATGATGAACACAAAATAAGTCCGCTTGGGATTGCTAGTATGAGAGGACATATCAACATTGTATCTAAACTTATGAGGTACTCAGCTGAAGTCAATATTTGTGGCAGTAATGGTCTTAGTCCTTTATATTCAGCTTCACATGGTGGTCATTTTGAAATAGCAAAGGTGCTTGTTCAAAATCGGGCCAACGTAAAAGTAAATGTATACGGATTTTACGCTCTGCATGCAGCTTCAAAATTCGGTCACAGTGATATTGTTAAATTGTTGCTCGAAAATGGAGCAGACCCAAATGTAGTATCCACATGTACTCAGGGTTCTACTCCTCTTTATTTATCTTGTATGAATGGCCACATAAGCAATGTTGAAATTTTGGTAGAACATGGAGCGAATATTAACACTGTTGCAGGACAAAACTGTTTATCGCCTTTATATATTGCTTCTCAAAATGGACATACAGCAATAGTTGACTTTCTTTTAAAAAATAAGGTCAACGTAAATAGTCGCTGTGTAAATGGAATTACTGCTCTACATGCAGCTTCTGAAAGGGGTAATTTAAGTATTATTAATTCTCTTCTGGAAAACGGTAGCGATATAAACCTTCAATCAAGTTCAGGGTGCAGTGCTCTTTATTATGCCTCATATTCAGGGAAAGATGAAACCGTCAGTCAACTTATTCATTATGGTGCTGACATTAATTTATGCAGTAATACGGGTTGCAGTCCATTTCATACAGCAGTTGAAAACGGTCATCTGCCTGTAATATCTATTCTTCTCACTCATGGCACAGATATTAATCTGCAGACGGAAGCGGGGGTAACTGCCCTTCACTTAGCGGCAAAAAAATCTAATATCAAAGTAATACACATTTTACTCCGAAATCATGCGGATGTTAATTTGAGCACTAGCCAAGATTTTATAAGTCCCTTGCACACAGCATCGGCAAATGGTTACTTTAACGTTGTTCAAACTCTTATCCAAAATGGAGCAAATATAAATCATCGATCAAACACAGGTATAACTGCAATATTCTTTGCATCACAAAAAGGTCAGAGTAACATTGTCAAATATTTACTAAGAAACGGAGCTGACCTTAACATTTGTACAATGGAAGGATTCAGTCCACTTCACATATCCTGTGAATTGGGACATAAAGAAGTAGTTGACGTCCTTTTACAACACAACGCAGACCCCTTTCATTGTTCTAATAATGGTTATAATGCCTTCATATTTGCATTTGTGAAACAGGAGGTAGACATTTTAGGTCTATTAGGGCTAAACTGTATACGTATTTGGATCAGAAAATTAATTTTGTTTGTTGTGATTGGATTTGTTGCGATGATATTGGCATTTCTGTTCGATTAGATACATAAGTCTACCATACACAGACTATCGTAAATCAAATTAAAGTCCAGATCGAACATTTCATAAACGCGTACAGAACTAATTTGCCTGTTTAGAAATTCCTACTCGGGATGTCACAAAACTGGATTACACATACACAAACTTTCGTTACCATGACGGTCGTCATGTAGTGCAAAGACAAAGAGAAGGTGATGGCCCTTTTAAGTATTAACTATTTCCAATAATCTTATAACTAAAATATGACAATCGTGCTATATTTGATGTTTGAAATCATAAGTTGATACGTAAATTTGAATGCTTTCGTTAAAATCATATTTTAAATGAAATGATGCCTGAAATGAAAGTGCCAAAATTGAACACCAAAAAATAAAACCTTTACCAGGAAAAAAGATATGAAGTTCCCTGCCTTTCTTACGAGCATTTTTGAATTACAGTCTACAGTGTCGGATTTATGGCAAAATGTGTTTTCATCTGTAACATTCAGTCGTATAAAGATAAGTATACAGTAACTGAAATACCGTTTAACCATACATATGAATCTATACTCCATAGAAACAATATGATAATGCGTGCCGTCAATTGCATACTTGGAAAACATTACTCCGAACCACGTCTTTCTATAATTCTTTAGGTATTTGGGAGAATTTGTAATTCTCTTAAATCAGGTGTTTCATCTTCATTTCCTGATTTTGATAAAAGCGGCATGGGAATTTACAGTTTCTTAACATTTCGATTCGAATGACTGTAAATTTATGTATAAAAACAGATGAATAGAGTCGCGATTCGTATCCTATCCTGAACTTTGAAGCCTGTAAGCCAGATCAATTTTTTAGAGGTGTCAGTATACAGCTTTACAAATTTGATGATACTGATTGTCCTTCTTTACTATTAAAATGTATATCGCAGTAAAGAAAGGTACAGAAGAATGGTACTGTTTTTCAAACCTATTATTTATCAAAGAAAATTGATGAACTTTATAAAGGAACTTTTGCCTCAGAAGTCTCAATTAAGTTCTTGATATTTTTGGTTTAGACTCTAATCTATACAATGGTAATTTTCTTATTATTGGTTCCAGTACTTCGTCAGGATCTGTAATTATTAACGACCAGCTTTCCAAACTCTTGGTCGATGGACATCTGATAGTTATTGCCGTTATATCCGGATTTCCCAGGACACAATGTCGAAAGGAGAGAAGTTTTTGAAATTGTCTAAAAATTTATAAGTATAGAAATATGTATATAGTTCATTGAACTTGTAATTATATTGTTTAACCAAAGAGACAATATACTTTAACTGTACATGTGAAGCCTGGGATGAAAATGACATTTATCAGTTTTAAACTTTACTTGTTTTCGGAGTAATCATCCTTGTGAGAGTTAATGTTTTGTTGATACATGTGAACATATCTCTTTCTATGTATTACTTTGTTTAGCCGAAGAAATACTGTGGATTCATTTTAATTTTCGTGGGTACCAATTTTCGTTGATGAAGGAAAACTTGCATGTCTGTGGATATTCAATTTCGTGGTTTGGCCGAAGTCTGCGTACAATCCTATAGAAAATATATCATTCGTTGAACATTTAATTCCGTGGTTCACCTGTACCCACGAGATCCACGAAAATTGGTACCCAACGAATAATTATGAATCCACAGTAGTGTATATTTCTTTACTTTTTCTTTGAGAATATTCAGCCATGTGTAGAGTTGCTGTTTTTATGCGACTGCGAAATTTTTGCGGCCGTATAATGGTATGGCTATGTTGTCTTCTGCGTCATCTATCTCGTCGTCGTCTCAGAAGACAATTGGTTTCCAGACAATGACTTGAGTATAAGGGTATGGATCTCTATGAGATTGTACCACAATGTTCCATATCACAAAAGGAAGGTTGGGATTAGTTTTTGGGATTATTGTCTTAACTGTTTAGGAATTAGGGGCCAAAAAGGGGCCAAAAACAAGCCCTTTTCTTGTTTCTGGATAATAACTTATGTATTAATGTATGGATATCTATGCAGTTGGACACCAAGGTTTCATACCTCAAAAGGAAGGTTAAGATTGATTTGTGGTGTTATGGCCCAAACTGTTTAGGAATTAGGGGCAAAACAACAAGGATTGCTAGTTTCTGGACAATAACTTTGGTAAAAGTCTATGGAGCTCTATGAAATTTTACTACAAGGTTCCATACCAAACAAATCGAAGGTTTGGATTGATTTTGGGGGTTACGGCCCTATTCATTTAAGAAAAAGTGGCAAACACATTACTTTTAGTACACTTTGTATACATTTCTTATTTCTTGACCAATTTCAATGGGATTTAATTCAAAGTTTTAAATTTGTGAGGTTCTTTAATATGCTGAATCTAACCATGTATTTAGATTTTGGATTTTGGGTCCGCATTCAGGTCGAAAGGGTCCAAATTAAACTTAGTTTGATTTCATCAAAAATTCAATTATTGGGGTTCTTTGATATGCCGAATCTTATCGTGTATTGAGATGTTTAATTTTAGGTCCCGGTTTTAAATTGTTCAACATTAATGTCCAAAGGGTCCAACATTAAACTTTGTTTGATTTTAACAAAAATCTAATTCTTGATGTCCTTTGAAATGCTGAGCAAAACATGTATTTAGATTATTAACTTTTGAGCCAAGTTTTAATTTGCTCCAAATAGCGGTCCAAAAATAAGTTTTGTTTGATTTTAACAAATATTGAATATATGGGGATTCTTTGATATGCTGAATCTTATCGGGTATTTAGAATTTGGATTTCGGGCCGCGTTATAAAACTGGGCCACATTGAGGTCCAAAGGGTCCAAAATCAAACTTTGTTTGATTTCATCAAACATTTAATTATTGGGGTTCTTTTATATGCTGAATCTAACCATGTTTTTAGATTTTGGATATTAGACTATAATAGGTAAATGTCAAATTCTAAATCTTCAAGTTCTTAGACCACATTCATTCTGTGTCAGAAACCTATGCTGTGTAAAATATTTAATCACAATCCAAATTCAGAGCTGTATCAAACTTGAATGTTGTGTCCATACTAGCCCCAAATGTTCAGGGTTCGACCTCTGCGGTCGTATCAAGCTGCGTCCTGCGGAGCATTTTATTTTTAAATACATGCGGACTTATCTTTTTTATCAAAAGTTACTAGTTTGTATCATATATTGATTAGCTGAAGAACAATTTTTTTGATTTTTTTTTATCTAAGTTCCTTCAGTTTAATTTTATTGTGCATAAAGATTTACTTTTGATGAACCCTCGTTGAATTGACGTTGTCTTTTCAGTCAGCGTTGTTTCCTCACTTTTAAATTGTTAAACAGCTCGAATTTGAATTATGATTTTACATCTGTTTTGGTTGTTTACACAATTTTGTCAATATAACGGAATTACAAAAAATTGTCATACAAGTTGGAGGTTTAGTTCGATATAAAACCACGTTTAACCCACAGTTTTCTTCGGAAAATGGTTGTATCTAGTCAGGAATATAGCAGTTGGTTTTCACTTGTTCTGTTCGATTGATAGAGTTTGATTTGTCAGTTTTAATGGACTTCCCCTTTTTGAATTTCGCCTGGGGTTCAATATGTTTGTTATACTTTTTTAATGATTTAATATTATATGTTTTTTTTCACTACATGTGTCATAAAAGCTTCCATATCTTCCCCCCTTTTATAAAGATAATGTCCTAAATTTCATATCCTTCTTCTTGGGAAATTACTCAGCTCATATCATAGCTATTAATCTGCGTAAAAGCCATTCATTAAATTTTTGTGGAGCCTGCGACATTTATTTCGCAAAAAGAGACATAGCAAGTATAGATTCCGTCGTCGGCGTCGTCGGCGTCAACATTTAGGTTCAGTCTGTGGTTAAAGTCTTTTTTTAAACATCAATAACTTTGTCAAACCTTCATGGAATTGAATGAAATTTAGACTTAAACTTTTTTATGACCAAAAGACATTATCGAGAGCAAATATTTAAAAATATTTAATTTCATTTTCTTAAAAATGGTCTAAGTTTTTTTCTTTTGCAGTAAACAAGTAGATACAGTCTAGGGTAGAGTTGGTTTCAAATCAATTTCTTTGTCAAACCATCATAGAATTTAAAGAAACTTTGGTAGAAGCTCGTTTATGATTAAGAGATAATATCTGAAGCAAAATTTATAAAAGATGTATTTTATTTTTTCCCTTTCTTAATGATAAATGGACTTAGTTTTTTCACAGTAACAAACTTTGAAAATATATTGATTTCATATTTAGTATTTTACTTCTTGGACCGAAGCTAATCTTCAAGATCAATAAGCATCTAAATAGATGGTTTTTTTTAAATTCTGTGTTTAGGAATAAATGGACTCACTTTTTACAGTCAACAGTACACTTTAACACTGACAGCAGCAATCTCAGGCGAGACACAGAATTCCGAGAAACATTTTATTAATGTTTTATCTCTGGTCAGTTTTTGGAAATGACATTTTTTCTCGCCCCCTGAAGTGCTACCAACTAACAATTTATATTCATTAGTTAAGCTTCAGTTAATAGAAAAGGTGACTTCATATTTCCTGTCTACCACTGTTTCGCAGGCATCTGTAGTCCTTGTAGACTATGCCTAATAAATATTTTCAAAATTAGCTGAGATAATTTCTTAGGGGACATTTAGGATCATTTCAATATTGATAATACCGCATGTATTTTACTTTGTATTTACGTCCCTATAATAGCATAATACACTCCTTAAGGTAGATCTGGTGTCTTCTGTCAATTTGGATTGTAAAATAACTGAAAACAATCGGTCTAGATCTTTAAAGAAATGTGCGAATTTTTGAGAGATGAAAGTTATTCATTTGAAAGACATTTCATCTTAATGAAGGAAATTATGTGTTTTATCATATTTTTCGGTTGTTTTTTTTCAAAAAAAGAATAATTTTGTTTGTTACAATTTTTTTCAACTTTGCCATACAAGTGGAGATAATTCAGCTAATGTTACTTTTCTTAAGGAATGTGTAATGAATTTACCTGTTTTGTTTTGTATTTAGAAAACAAGTCCAGTGACCTAAATATTTTATTATATTGTTGTGAAAAAGAGCATGATATAAACTACATTTTGGCAAATTATTAAAAAAATCTATGGATTATGTAGACCCGCCATCTACCTTAAGGGCATACGATACAGTTACAGGGGAGGTAATGACGTTGCTAAGGTAAATGTTATTTTTTGCGACGCCAAACTGTGACATATTCTAAAATGATGCATTTTTCGACTGAATTTTGAAAACAAGTACATGGACCCCTTTAAAAAATACCACACATTTAGCCATATTATGTATGAAGATTATTTTATGAACAAATCACCGATGGATTTTTTTTAAATTAGATAATTATACAGCAAAAAATGCTTAAATCATGAAAATTCAATAAAAATGAATTATTTCCAAATAATTGTTACACAAATATATAGAACATTTATGTAAAGAAGATATCCCAGATGTTTTTAAAAAGATCCTCTTTTGTTTGTTTTTTTTAACAAAAAAGTTATGTATGTCTGTATGGATTGAAATGTCAAAGAAACCGAAATTTTTAGTAAATGTCTGAAACTTTCGACCCCATTTATCTCTTAAAGTAGCACATGAAGTTATATTTGTTTTATTGCATAATTAAATTGACTAGGTGAAAAATAGCTTGTATGCAAATATTCGTAAAAAATTCAACGTGGGATCAAAACTGTATCGTATGCCCTTAATTACCAGACAGATTATCCTCAATTGGTACAGGTTATTTAAGGTCGAATAAAATGTGTAAACTGTTGATATAGTATTCAGACGAGATCAATTTATTCTTCATTTAGTTCCCTCTGAAGATTTGTGGTAGATGTTCGTGAGAGAGAAAAAAAGGGTAATAGTCATATTTTGGTTGAATTAGCGCCTGAAATGAGTTTGCCAAAAAAACTGAAGACACTAAAATAAAACGGATAAAAGAAAAAAAAAACCCTAACAAACGCTAAATTCGTGCATTAATTTACTATAATTTAGAAGTAGACATGTAAGAGTGTGCATTATAATGGAATACAACTTAATTTTTAAGGTATTCAAAATGTGCATTTGAAATTTGATTGTAATAAACAAAAACTTCTGAATACATAGCAACAAGTCAATCATTATGAACAATTTTATATAATTTAACCAAAATAGTCTGTGTATACTTGTATATTAATTGGATAATTCCATCATTTATATAAACAAGGTTTAAAGCATCAAATGACATTATTGTTGAATAAGTATATAATTAAACCAAAAATATGTTTGTGTATCCTTGTATACTAGTTGGATAATTCCATCATTTATATAAACAAGGTTTAAAGCATCAAATGACACTATTGTTGAATAAGTATAAAATTAAATCAAAAATATATCAGTGTAAACTTGTATACTAAGATGTTGAACTACACTTTGTTCCACTTAAAATGGTATTTCTCTAAATTACCTTATTCCAAATGTCTGAAATATACTTATTAAACGCATGAACCAGTGACCTATAACTAGTATAACAATAAAATCCAAAATTGCAGAATTCAAATACAGTATGAATAATTTTGCCAATAATTAATTAACAAAAAAATAACAACTTATATCCCTACCCCAAAATAATGATTGTTTCTTTTTGTTTCATTATCATATTACAAATTTCGTAGAACACTTAGTTGTGGTAGTATTTCATGTTTAATCATGATTTCGAATGTGTGTCTATGTTGACATGAATTATCAGTGATATGGTTATAATTATAAATTAACTGTTCACAAATCTTTGAATATTTAGAAATACTAAGTATTGTTTACCCCAGGATTACCATAGCTGTATTTGGCAAAACCTTTTGGAATTTTGGTCCTCGATGCTCATCAACTGCGAACTTTATCTAGCCAATTTAAACTTTTTGTTTTATTTCGAGCGTCACTGATGTGTCTTTTGTAGACGAAACGAGCATCTGGTGTACAAAATGTTAAGCCGGATATCTATGATAATTTTTGTATCATATATTCATGTATCAACCTTATATTGGATACACCATTTACATATTTTATAACTGTTCTATATAAATCCTTTTGTAATACTATAGTTGCTATGTATGCAGTTTTTGCTAGATAAATGTACAACATATATAGTGTGAAGACATACTTGTGAAATCATGATCTTATTTATGCAAAAGAGGTATGATAAGCGCCTTTATTTGCAAGGACTTTCAAGATCATGTTAACTTTATTGAAAAATCAACAGATTGTATGTAATAGGCTAGACACTTAAGTGCAGAAAAAAGTCACTTGTGATGTTACTAAGACGTCCTAAACATGTCGAATTTGACATATTTGACCAAAAAAGGTAATTTGTCACATTATATTTCATAAAAATAGATATGAGCCTCGAGTTTATCCAAAAAGATATTTTACACGCATAAACCTATTTACAAAATATACTTTGTAGTAAAGTATCTTTTTGTGTAAAATCTTGGCTCATATTCAAATATTAATCACAAGATTTCAAAATGACAAAAACAGTTTTTGCAGTGTTGCCTTTTCATAATTTTCCTTTATTCATATGCTTTAAAGAAACCTTTTTATTTTTGGTAGAACACTCTAGTCTTACGAATTGGAAATACCAGTCTTCATATGCCTAATTATTTATATAAACAGTATGCGATATTTATAAACATGATATTTATGCAAAACATATAGCTAACATTTATTTCTTTACGGAGTTATTTTGTCAATTTCTGCATTTAAACTAATATTTCGGCAAAGTCAAGGCATAATTATCCTTATTCCTGTGAACTAAATACGGAAATAGAAATATATAAGGCTGTACAGAAATTAAATTCTATGAATATATATATATATATATATATTGGCTGCATCTATCCAAAAAAACTTGAAGTAAAGATATACCACAGACACGGTTAAGTCTCTTCATATCTTGACTTACATCTGGAAATTGACAAAAAGGATAGGTTGAGAACACACTTTGCACAAACAGAGATTTTTCTAATTTTCCAATTGTAAAATTTCCATTTCTGTGTAGCAATATTCCAGCAGCGCCTACATATACAGTATTTATCACCAAGTTGATAAGATATTATAGGGTTTTGTTTCCAATCATTATTTCCTTGATTGAGAGTTACAGCTTACAAGGAAGCTATTTTTGTCAAAGGTTCCAACTAGTGAAGTTAGAGTTATCCCTTCGAAATGTTTACGAACACTATCATGATTTTGACCGATACGAAATATTTGTTTAACATATGAACTTGAATATCATCCACAATCCCGTCTTATTTTTGGATTGTGATATCAACAAAAGCAACTTCTAACAAGACTTTAACTCGCTGACCTGTTTGAACAACACAACGGATACCATACACACGAGGAAAAGAGGCCACTCACCATTCCGGAGCACCTTATTTCATCCCAAGTATTTGGTGTGTTCGTGTTATTAAGTCTTTAGTTTTTCTTACTTTCTTTACAAATTGTTTTAATAATTTTTGGCCATGGTACATGTATTGTCAGTTATTATTGGACTTGGGTATTTTGATTGAGCCCTTTGTATCTTCTCTCTCTAGTTGTTACATAATTCAGAGTTATTAATATTTAAAATCATTGTCGAATTAAACTTATAGAACTGCGCCCTTAAAGTACAGAAAGAACACACACATATATTACATATCGTTGGAAAGAGAAAAATGTGTACAATCAGAAAAGTTTGGTTGTAAAAACTCAAAATGGTAACATATATCAGAAATTTAAACATGAGAAAAACAGATGGTATTTTCTAAGTTATATTCATTAAAATGCTATTTCATCACCAGCACAAATTGCAAAGGATGTCAAAACGACAAGATTGACTATTCGTGTGAAGAGCTGCCTTTTAAAAATGGTGTTAATGTTGAACGTTTCGATTTTTGTTCCATCAATGTAGATTGGACCTTATTCTTTTCACGCCGATTATCTTTACCACGGCGAGCTCTATTCAGCACAACATATAACGAAATAAATTTCTAATCCGTAATACACCAGTTTTTCAAAATATTTCAGTTATTTTGTACCTTAAAAAAAACAAAATTAAGGCAGTTAAACCGCGTTTTTCTATTCTGCATCCGAAAGGATGTGTCTTGAAATATTAGTGTAGGTTAAAGAAAAATAAGTTTCGGGCACTTACAAAATCGACAGATCAGTTTATTATCCCCCCAATCGTCCAAATAAAAATAATTGTCAATCGAAACGTTGCAGAGTTGTGGCTCGTTTGTTTAACCTATTGTTTAAGTGTAATACAAAATCAGTTTTATGCCATGGACATTCTCTTGGCAGCATTATCCTAATAAAAATCGGTAGTCTCACCAAACTTTTGGGAAAATATTTCCCTCATGCAAAGCTCTGATTTCTTGTCCAGATGTTGTTATACTTTAGGTCATTTTTGTTTTGATCTGACCTTTCAACGTTTTTATTAGGTTTTGGATTTTCAAATATTCGGTCTCAAGCATCACTGAAGAGACGTTTATTGTCGAAATGCGGATCTGGTGCATAAAATATTGGTCGTTTCATGTTAATAGAGAAGTTATTGATTAGAACGTTGATTTTCTAATGTTGTAATTTGACAATCGGTCAAGTCCATCATATAACTTGTCTTCGAAGAGCAACATACATTAGCTCTGAACGTTTAAGATAAGGATAGACAGTAAAAAAAGTAACACTAGGAAATAATTTACAAAAAATCTTAGCTAGACGTCAATCTCTTCTTTATTGTTTTCGGAACTGCTACGCATATAAGTACTGCAGCATGCTTCATTTCCTTGACACGGACAAAGTTCTGTGCAAGGCAAATTTTGTTCAGAGCAAACACAACCTTTTGAGCACAAAAAGAATTACCTTTGCAGGTACAAAGTAAATCTTACAACTAATAACCGAGGATATTAATGTTGCTCTTTTCAAAGTGATAGTTATCCTTCCAAGCTACAGTCGTAAGGAAACTATTGTGGTGGCTGTGATATGTGTCAAGAAGTCTAAAATACCGGACTGCAACCAATCTCTTAGGAGTTTGAACAAGCTAGAATCTTTCTATAAGTTTGTTCAGATCAGCTTGATAAAATTTAGCCGTCCGTTTCTTGTCATATTGTATCAAATGTTCTGTTGACAGCAACATTCTTCAATGTCACCGTTTGAAAGATGGTCTGAATCATTGAAGTTATCAACATTATCTTTTAAACTTCGCAAATTACAAACATTGACGATATGTTGTCACCATCAACAGCAGAAAAAAATTTGCACATGAAAAGTCTTCACACACTACATATTTTATGTGCAGGGAAGAATCTACATCCATCTTTATTGCTGGTTATTGTTCCTGTTTGGAAGCACAGTTCTTCAGTATTTTTCATTAACGAAAAGAAATGCACACATAGACACATAGAATCTGTATGTGGCGACTTTATACCGATACGACCCTTTTGTTTGCTTTCCAAACTAGATTTTAGTAAACAATGTATTAAGAAAGATTCGCGTTTCTGCAATGTCTGCAACCTCAGCAGAAAAAAAAAAACAATAATTCTCGATAGATAAAGTTTATTCTCATTTGAAGTCAGCACATGGGACAGGGCATGATGACGAATTGTAAAATCATACAGGAACTTAAGAAGAGGTGTGACGCTCAAAATATTTATCCCGATTGGTAGAACTCGACCTTCTATTACCAGAATATCTTTTTGCTCGAATTTACATCAGGTCATCGGTCTCTTTTGACAGATTTAAAAGACAGTTCGGTGTCGTATCTGTCCACAACATTTGAAGTGCATGATTTCTAATTCTGAATAAAATGTTGAGCCAAGTCTCAAAAAATGTTAAGTGCCTTAACATTTAAAGACAGTACCAAGGCCATTCCGTTCCTGATAAGTACGGTACTGATAACCAACAAATGAATTCGAAAAGCAATGCATGCATCTTATTCAAAGAAGCACACAACGAAGTTTCATTGGGAAGAGGATAATCGTCAGGGGTAATTATAAGATTATCAATATCGGGCCTAAGAGCTCTAGTGAAATAATAAAGTGTTAATAACTGCTTCTCATTTAATGTATCCGTGACCACCTCAGTGGTTTCGTGGAAGCGTGTTCGTCTCTAATGCAGGTTATGGGTGCAAGCCGGGTAAAAACAACAACTTTAGAATTGTTACTTGCTCCTTATCCTCGGAGTCAGAATGATGTGTCCCGGTAGGATACCATGTCGTCCTACGGACTGTTACCTTGTAAACTAGCACGTTAAAAACCCGCTCAGCTTCCATAATAACTAGATAGTTTGCCATTAAGTTTGACAAACGGGTAGGTATTTGAGACATTCTTGGGCAAAAGTAATCGGTAAGTTGAGAGTGACAGAAGAAAGACTTATGAGCAAGTTTATGCTTAAATTTCACTGTATCTGTATTGCCTGATTGCACAGGTGTTGGTTTCAATAAACACTTGTTGTTATGGAATGATGATTCGTAGCACACTTTTATAGAAAAGATATTTGCACTCGCGATTATATTTACCATGGATATAAGAGAGGCAAAAGATACCAAAGGGACATTCAAACTCATGAGTCGAAAAAAAAACTGACAACGTCATGGCTAAAAAAGAAAAAGACCAACAGAGAAACAACAGTTCAAAAGGACAACATGGGAAACTAAAGACTGAGCAACACGAACCCCACCAAAAACTTGGGGTGATCTCAGGTGCTCCGGAAGGGTAAGCAGATCCTTTTTCACATCTGACACCCGTCGTGTTGCTCATGTTAGTACAAAACCGGTGATAAGTCTAATTCGGTAGGTCACATTCCGGGAAAAGGGACGGGATTGTAGTTCGACAATTGGAACATATCCGTTGTCATCTGTGAAACAGATATTCCATAACGGTCAACCAACACATGATTGCGTCCGTAAAATTTACGAAGGATGATTTCAACTTCACCAGATGGAACTCTTAGTTTAATAGCTTCCTTGTGAGCAGCAATCTTCTATCAAGGAAATCATAATATGAAATACAATCCCTGGAATATCGTATCAACTGAGGGATATATACTCCATACGCCGGCGCTGCTGGAATGTTGCTACATAGAAATGGAAAGTTCACAATTGGGAAGATGGTATCATCTCTTTTGTCGTAAAGTTTTGTTTTTCTTTGTCAATTTATAGATGTAAGTCAAGATATGAAACAGATTTAAAGAGTAACTAAAACGCTTAAAGTAAGTTATTTTCATTTTATAGTACTAAATAAACTTTTAAAACGCAAAAAACCCGATGAAATTTGGTCAATTAATAACGGAGAAAATAGCGAGTGAAGTTGGATTATTTTTTACCTGTGGGAAATCCAATCAGTGCTATTTCCGGAAACAGGGTTTCCTCGCTGAGTGACCCCGATCGACCGGAAATGACATACAGTGCGGGCTACTTTTGAACTTGTTTACATTGACCAGAAGGAATATATTATGGATGAAAACAGCAATGCTAGTGATTTATCGCTGACATTTCAAAGCTCATAATTTGAAGCATTGAAGAAGTTGACCGGCCAATTGTTGCAGAAGAAGATATTCAACCATATCAGTTTGAGCCAGAACTTTCTGATGGTAACAGCGACGATGGTAGAGACTTTGCATCACTGGATGGGGACGACGATATGGAACATAGATTAGGAAATACAAACTGGTAAGTGCATATTTGAACAATATAATTTGTAAAAGATTATTGGCTAAGACTTGCTACAAAAATACCCGAGATTATAGCAAGATATGAGTGAAAATTAATAAAAAAAGGGTATATAATAAATTTTTCACCTAAGTCCAAGTTCAGCCATATTTTAACTTAAAAAATACTGTATATGTGTTTTTTCGCCTCTTTTTGTTGCTTTATTTTCATTTCTTTTTTGTATGCTTTATTTAGATTGGCAAATAACATGTTATTTATATATTGAGCAAACAGCTTTCACTTAAAAAGCTATGTACATAAATTTGTAGGAAAGGTCTCATTTGTCAAATAAGCATGGCTTTATTGACAGCATTTTGAATTGTTTTATCAGACTTTTTCTGAGATGGCCTTCAATATTCTGACTGGCTAAAACTTTGATAATTTATATTCTTCGTTGGGCAAATGAGCATTACTGAAAAACACATTTGTCACTGTATAAGTCTTTACTCTGTAAAACAATTTGTCATCTAGTCTTTTGGTATATTTATCCTCCTAAATTGAATCATTTTTTACCGTTCAAAAATTTCTTACCAAAAAGTATAGAAACTGGTCATTGCTGTTGAGCATACGCTTTTTTGCTTTTTTAATTTATCCTATCAGTATTTAAATCCTTCAGTTAACTGTTTTCATACCGCATGTGCTTTCTGTTTCTCAAATTTGAAAATTGAACTTTCAGGTGTGACTGTGGAAATTGTGAGTCTATGCCAAAAGCAGAGGAATGCATTTGCTGCCACGAATTAAGCAGAGTTACCGAAAAAATGGAGGAGCTACCCACACCAGTATCATGCATAACAGAGCATCCTGGATTTGAACCAGTGTGCCTTAACCAGTATGTTCTGGAAACTGCATACTTCCAATACTGACAGCAGTAAGGAGAAATACAAGTAACAACTGAAGAGTAAGTTATTTATAATTTATTAGCACCTTAAATTTTCTTTATCAATGTATTAAAAACTTTTATTACATACAAAAAACATTTATACATTATGGCATGAACAGGCAGACATGTGCTAAACAAAGATGTAGAAGCAATCAAACAACACATATTTTATGAAATGTGCAGTTATAATTTAAATGTTATTAAACCATGTTTAACAGATCAACATATGAAAAACAAAAATAATATCCAAAAAATAAAATCGCATTAAAACATGTGTTTGATGAACAATTAAATAGTTGTCTAAAAACAAAGTGAGAAATAATAAATCAGATTTTCTTTATAAAAAAAGTTATGATTATTGCTTATTTTAAGGAGGAACCGTTATACAGCCTATCGTCAGTTAGCAAGATGGTGTTGGGGCTACCTTGGAAAGTCTGTACGTGTTCATCTCCCAGCTTGTGCCACCCATGCAATAAGGAACAAGTTCCCGTCAAACCAATACAAAGGTTTTGAAGGAGCATAAACATTGATAGACTATTTACATGATTTACAACAATTAATATGTACAAATTATTCATTATTTATTACAACCATAAATGTCATATAAACATTTTAAGCACTTTTATCTTTATTAACAATAATGTCTACATTTCTGCCTTCCTGAATCTTGATTTCATAGCTTGTATGGCATCAGTTTTCTGTGGTCGTGTGAAAGCTGCACCCAGTGGTCTTGGTGTTGGCATTGGTACATCTGATGAATTGCGAATAGTTGTTACATCAACTATTTTCCCAACAGCTCTCATCAGTGTGTTAACGTATCCTGAAAGATAATAAAGTATTTTTGGCTACTAAATGAAAATATGATTCAGAAAGAATTATCACAATATACAAGTGCATATCACATATGTGTTAAATTATCAAATGAAAACATACAATAAAATTAATGTTTTAAATATTTTTTCACAGAAATGAAATATATGTCACTAAGTCAGCAACCCAATGACAAAAAGAAAAAAAGAATTTCCAATAGTCACATCTAGGATACATGTACAATACACAGTCTGAAGAATAGAATGGTTTTAAGCAATATATACGTCTGACACATATTAGTTTTTCCCACTATAAATTAAACACTTAAAAAAGATTTGCGGTTATCTTCTCAGGGAGAATGCTGGTTAGATAGCAGTGTTAAATTTGTGGATTGTCACACAATTTTTCTATAACATCTCAAATTGAAAACTTACGGAATGACTGATTGATCTTTTTTTCCCTTGTGATATAGCCGCCACTCTTGTACTTTGGAAAGTGTATGCTATATCTTGCTACTCCATCTTTTGTAACTGCTTGTGGTCTGCCTGAGTTCTCGTTGAAATGCAGTGCAGCAAGAAGCAGTCTGCAATATAAGAAAATAAATTTCAACGTTTGATATAAGAAGTAACAAGGGTTACAAGATTTGGTTTAATACCCGGCTTTGAGACTCATTTAACATTATTGAACAAATGTTTAAAAAATAACTGACATGGTGTAAAATTAAGTGTTTCTGTCCCTCTCCATGAGAAAATTATCTGAAGAAGTGTGCTTTATTTAACTTCTATAAGTTAACAAATCCTTATTGAATTCTTAACTTATTTACCTGCAGTGCATCCCATGAAAGGAGAAACCAACCATCTTTGGTGCGAAGTTGTTTATGGTTGAATTAAAGGCTTCAACATCTGAAGTCTGGTGAAGAGGTGACAGCTTTTTAACGGATGTTTTTAGTCGTGTGGCTGTCAACAGCTCTTCCGTCTTAACACAAGCTTTGGTTCCTGAAATAAAAATTAGTAAAAGTAAAATACTATAAAGAAAGAAATTTTATTTTGTCCCCCCCCTCTTTTTTGTTATAAAAAGCTTTGGCATGTACTTAAATCATTGATCATCAAAACAATAGTTTAAAATTATAATATCATTTTAATTTTTTGTACACATGTCAAATGTAGTTTTTTCATTTTATAATTGAGAAATGTTTTGCTGTAATTTTAATGGGATTATTTTTAAATTGGTCTACATTAAGGTCCAAAGGGTCCAGAATTATACTTAGTTTGATTTTAACAAAAAATGAATTCTTGGGGTTCTTTGATATGCTGAATCTAAACATGTGTTTAGATTTTTCATTAAGGGCCCAGTTTTTCTGCGATATCAAAGAAAAACTGGCAGGTGCCTAAACATTGTTCATTTTTATAAAATTTGCAATTTATGTATTAAAAATTAATTTCAACCAAATAATATATAAACATGATAAATTTTTTTTCGTTTAACAGCACCCCTTCTAGTCCATGGTTGCATATTAGAGTCCTTAGCTGTGTTTAGACGTACCGTCTCTTTAGAATCTTTACTCTCTTCAGTTGGTGTATTATATAATAGTTCCTGAAGTACCTGAAAAAAAGATAGATAATGAAAATCTAGCTCATAATGCCACATTTATTACTTATGGCTAGAATTACTTAGTACTTACTTACTAAATCCTCTTCATGTTCTTGAACACATAAGGCATCAACAAATGAGGTTTAAATAAATAGGTTTATTGTTTATGTAGTGATAAGCCATTAGATTTTTGGGAAACTATACTTTTGCTATGTCTTTAAAAAGGGGATGTTGAAATTTTAGAATTGTCAGTGCTTACCAATTTGAAATAATAATTTAAATCTAGAAATTGGGAATTCTGGTAATTACTATAATATTATAGCCAATAAATTTCAATAAATGACCCCCATATACATATATATAAAAAAAATGAAAATGAAATTATAGATATTTTTGAAAGGTGTGTATAACGTAAATACAAATGGAAGACCATCTTATAGGAATAAAAAGCAAACACTAATTTTTTAAACAAGCAAATATAAGACACAATATTAATTGGTAGTTTCAAAACAGATGTTTTACAAATAGTGAAATAAGTTACTGAATAGTAATATAGATTTCGATGTAGAATTGTAATGTGTTTTTTTTTATTTATTGAACTGACAGATTCACAAAATTTCAGAATTTTCTTATAAAAATATAATAAATTTCTTACTTTAATCATAGACATATATATAGAGAGAGGGATAAGTAATTTCTTACAATCCTTGTTGTAATAAAAAAAATATGTAGATAATCATTGGAGAAACTGCACTGTACACCTAAAACTTTAATAAAAGATTTTGATGGATTTTAATAAAAAAAAATTATTCAACTTATAAAATAATTCCCACATTTGTAGAGTTATAATTTGGCTAATATTGGTTATGGGACTTTATGCTCTTTGTGTAATTTGAATTATAATATAAGTCAAAACTGGTTTTCATAACACCTTTCAAATGATTTTGTTATATTGAATTACTCAACAGGTGGTAGGTGCATGGCCAAGTTGTTATTTACCTGATTGGATGGATTAAAACTTGTGTTTGATCTTTATTACTAGATAACAGGGTGTTAATTAATAGGTGTTAAAACTTTAACTGTTTTAATTACCGGGATTAGAGGTGATAAATATCCATCCACATGTTTGCTAATTTGTTTTATATCATGCACTAGTTTTAATTTTCACAGGTGTTTAATACTATTTAGGGGGAACATAAAACTTCTTGCACGATTTGAAGTGTCATATATATATATATTTTTTATAAATAATGAATAAATAAATACATATTCTTTTAATAAATAATTAGACATTCAAACTTTGCTTTTGCTTTACATTGCCTAATGAAATAGAATGTCTTTAAACAAAAAAAGCTACATTTTTACCCAAATTATTTTCTGCATTATCAGAATTATGATCATGGACATGTTATATAAATAGAGAGATAGTTATATCATGGAAGTACATGTATTGTTCTATATTGTATTATTTTACCATAGTTAGGAGACTCTTAATATTTGAAATTATTATGGTTACAAATGAATACCTTTTATGCTCATAGAAAGAGAAAAAAATTCAGAGGGACATAGGGCCAGAATAACTTTTATGGAGCTACACATTTGGCTATAATCGCCTCTTACTGTACCACAACTTATGTTAGCTTGTTGGCTACATGTTTTCAAAGTCATGCCTGTCAAGGCTCTGCATTTGTTATAAGCGGCCTTTATTCTATGACTTAACAGTAGCAACAATGACATTGACGATACGACGGATGCAGCAAGTAATGTCTTTATTCATTGTTAAGTCTGTATTCTATTTTCTGTGGCTTATCGATAATGATTCATGTACCTTGTTTAGCTAGTTGATTCTTGTTTAGGTGTTCCTCATGATTAAGTAAACTGTGACTTTGTTAGAACTCCTCTTTTTAAAAGGTGTTCTCTGGTATTCTTTTATACCCTGCATTTGTAGCTCTCTTGTTTAGGTGTTCTTTGGTATTCTTTTATACCCTGTATTTGTAGCTCTCTTGTTTAGGTGTTGTCTGGTATTCTTTTATACCCTGTATTTGTAACTTATTTCTTAACATACTCCTACAGTGTTGACAACCTTGACAATTAACGTGACCTTCAGACTTGGACATTGCTATAAGATTGAAACAGACAATCCAGTATAACCAAATAGTATATCAATGAGTTGGCTATTGACAACAAGATTATTTAATTTCTATTTTTATTAACAAAATATATAAATAATTTGGCCCTTGGGAGTCAAGTACTCAGCAAAGGGAAATTTAGCTCCAGGCCCTGTCGACGACACTTGGTATAGATGGATCAAGCCCCATAGAGCGGGCCCCCTCTTAGGCAGTCAGTGGGCCCCCACTTTTGAAAATTTCTGGATCCGCCACTGCACAATGACATTATAAAAATGCATACATTTTCAAACATGTGCATATATACACATAAATTTGATGAACATGTATATATAAAGACATATACATGGTATATAAAAACAAATAAGATTAGACACGTTAGAATTTTTTTTTTAGAAGTATTTTGATGCAGACCGTCACTATATCATGTATACTGGTCATGCTGGTTGCCCATTTTTCACAAAAGTAGAAATACATAAAGTTATATATATTCAAATCGCAAGTTAAAG